AAAATCCTTCCATGAACTTTTGCTTTCTGTTTTGATTTTGAGCCTTTTCCTGTCTGCTGCCCTTAACATTTTTAACTTCTATCGGACTGGAAAGCAGTTTCAACCCAAGTTTTTTCCATCTATGGCCAGAGCTATGTAAAAGCAGATCAGATATGCAGGCTGTATGGGCAGTTATAGAGTAAATCATTTGCAAAGACTTGCTATTAAACACATGTGTAGTGTCAACCCTGAAAGCACCATGGGCTGTCGCTTGGTGAAGGTGTAAATAACCTATGGCCAGGCCCAGCAAGTGATCCAGGCACTGTGTGCGCTGTGTAAAGTTCTTTCTACACCTTCCTCTTGTTGTTTCTCTCTGCTGCCTGATGGACTTAGTGCAATTTTTTCCATTGTTTTTCTGAAGTGAAGTTTCTGCAGGCGTGGGCTATGCTGAGGAGCAGAGGAGGGGTAGGTGAACGTAGAGAAGATGCTTACTACAGCACTGCGAACTCCTCAGTGTTGTAGCCTCCTGAACCGATGACTTTGTTCTTCCTCTCTTCTAGTCACAATAACAAACAGCATCACCTTAATTAGCTGCAAACTCCTGCTTGGATGGTCTTACTTGGATGGCTTAAAAAGTGGCTTATTTCTGTCTTGGATTTATCTTGTTTCTATAGCATAATAAGCTTAGATGAAACACTTCCAGCTCCAGTGCTAGAAGTGCCTTGGGGTGGCTACAGCTGCTAACAATAGTCAGTATTCATGCAGCAGTAGCAATACATTGCACTGGGTGATAAAGGCAGGTGGGTGTAAAGTGTATGCTTAAGAGAAGATAGGGTGATCCCACAGTGGACTGCGGTGCCTTTTCTACCTGTTAGGGTACAGATAGTCTTTGAAGGGAGAAGTTTGACTCATGATAATGAGGTAACTCTGTGATACAGTTTTCTGAAATGCCAGGAGCAAAGGCAAGCTGACCAAATTTTGTGACTCACTTTGTTCAGCTATTGCTGAGACCACTCAACTTGCTTTCCTGAAGTAAAGACTCAATATTCTCCGGTGTTGTGTATCTTGTTGGCTTTGCTGTGACTGCTGGAACAAACCCTTAAGTGCTTCTATGACACACAGAAAACTAGCCCTGTGGTATTACCTGCAGCTGCCCGCTCTGCACTCACGATTATGCAAAGCTCTTGCTGAGCTGCTGGATGCTTCTTTAGCATCTGCTCTATCCAGGTTTTTGGCTCAGTATCACTTCCGTTCAAAGCAGGCTCTTCTGTAAGGAGGCTGCTTTAACTCACCCTTGCCAGCTGTCACCAGTGGAGATTCACTGCCTTTACCTATCCCTGTGATTTTGTGCATCTAGAGCTCTTTCTCACACCACACAGGTCCTTTCTTCACATGCCTGCTTATTCTCATGCAGAGAGCACTTAGCTTTGGGCAACATGCAAAATAAAGAGACATATTCTTTGTGCTATTATAATTTACTGTAGAATTGATCCCTAACGGGAGATGATAATGATTAAATGCTTGGCTTGTGGGCTGTTTGGACATTATAGCTTGTTCATGCCTATTTGAAGTATTCAATGACTGCAGGAGTTAGACATAATCTCACCTGGTTTACAATCCTCATCTTTGACAGTTTGTCTTTAGAGATGTAATGATGGAACATGGCTTTTTGGCTCTGCCTTATTTAATGTTTTTAACTGATAAAACAGTATGTTTTTGTCAGAATCAGCAGCCTATGAGCCAGCTGTTCATACCTTTTGTGAGATGGTGTGGGAAGCCGACTTCAGTTACTTTCGGAAGAAACGTGACGGTGATGTTACTGCAGCAGCATGGTTCCCAAGTAGAACTGTCCCCGGGTCTTTGACCACTGAAGGTGGTCTCAGTTTCTACACTTCCTGGATCTAAATTACTAAGAAATAGTGGCACTAGAAAGGGCCCACCAAGGCAGTGTTGAGAAGTTCTATTGGGTGGTGTACACAAATACATTTCTGCCCCTGTGAAGGCAGCCTGTGCTCACGGTGAGTAACGCTGCGCTCTGTGATAGCTGTGCTGGAGCCATGGGACTATGGCAGGCAGGTTCTACTCCAGCTCACTCTCTCCCTGAATACTTAATGCAAAATTCAAGGCCTGTTTCTTATTTAAATTCCTTGCCTTCCTAATTTGAAAGACATTAAGTTTTGGCCTTTGCTTTTAAGCAGATGGATGCTCATCATTTACTTGTATGGTCCCTTTTTGTGCCACCATATCTGTTAGGTGCAGGAAAAATTTGCATTAGTATTGAGGTAGATCAAAAGATTTTCTTTCCACATATGCTGCAAATAATGTCTTTTTCTGGGAGAAAAAAAAAACCACACAGTCCTTTCCAAATGGTTTGCGAGATGATCATGATCAATGTTTTTAAAAAAAATCTATCCCTGACCCACCCCCCAGATGCAGCATCATATTAGTATACATGGCTTCTAGTTTAGCATGGGTTTAGTATTTAAATGTTTCCTAAAAGTTCATTGTTTTATTAAAAAAAAAAAAAAAGAAACACACCACCCACCCAGAAAGATCACCCTAATTTAAGGGAGCCCTAAAAGGTAGTAGGATGACAGATAGGGAGGAAGGTGATCAATTAAGACATTAAGCATTTTGCACCACATGGACGCATCTGCATGTCAGCCAAATAATAAGGCCATCAGCTCATTTTCAGGGGGCTGTTGCCTACTTCAACTCAGTCCTCAGATCAAAGAGAAAATGTCTGCTTGCATTTTCTAATCAGAAAAGGGATGCTAATTTAGGTTCCTTAATGTGTGGTGGTAAGAGACTTCTTCAATTAACTGAATTCTATAGCTCAGAAAATAAAAAAGGGGGATACAAAGGGAGTCAGGCTGGAAAGGCAGAAGTTCTCATTAAATCAAAGGTCCAATATTCATTACCTCCAGCATCTGGGGCTAAGCACTAAACATGGAGATCATCAAAGGGGGTTTAATGGGTTAAATTGAGAATATAATCTAATTAAAATATTAGATACGAGTAAATAGCTCTTTGATATTCATCTGAAGGTTTCATTAAAATAGGTACTTGAGGTTTGTATTAAGGGGGGATTATCACTTTTAAGCAGAAACAACAAGTTGAGGTTCCCTAATCAGAAATGCTTCAAAGTGTTAACCATTCGGTTTAAAAATAAAAGTAGAAAAGCAGCAACTGGCAGAGCATGGAAACATTTACCCAGCCTAGCTTGATGGGTCATACCACAGGCATGCACATTCTAAAAAGAGGGGGCAAATGCAGTTCCCAAAGGTGAGGAGAAAGGAGGCTGATGCAGAGGAAGGTCCTGTTCCAGCAGTTGCAGTGCACATTTGAAGATGTCCACTGCTGCACTTTGATACGCAAAACATTTCCCTGGCAACCTGACCCACATTCCCCACACTGGAAGACACTTCTTCCACCAAGTGTCCCCCAAGGATTATGCATGTCACAAACTTCCGCCTGCGAAGTCTAACAGTCTAATTCAGCACGTGTGGTGGGAAGCAACCGACAGGGTGGAGAGCTTCCTATCTCTCAGGTGGGTCAGGAGGGCTTTAAAGAAAGGAACATGTCCTTTTTCCATGATGGAGAGATGCAGTGTGGTGATCAATTTTTCCCATATTAGGTTGGGAGCCTGACTGGAGATCCTGCAGGTGTTTTTCAGCAACTAACCCATTTTCAGGAGGACTGAGGCATCCAGAGGACTGTAGGATCTAGGTCAAACTCACCCAGGACTCTACAAAATGAAAGGTATAGGACTTTTTCAGCAATATAAGTCATACCTCCAATACCTTGACTTCACTGTACACCTATTGGAAAATTATCTTTCCTGTGAGACAACAAGCCAATGAAATATTAACCCAGAAAAGTGTTAAGTCTTGCACATTTCTATCTTTACCTTTAAGAAAAGGTGCATCTAGAAAAAGAGAAAGCCATTTCAAAGATATTCTCTCTTTTATTCCCCACCTTACCCTTCCATTGTTAGCCTCCTTCAAGGAGACTCGAACCCTTTTTTTTGCCCAAAGACTAATTCTCTCTCTCCTCCCATACAAAAGGGGACCTAATAAATTGGATAAAGCAATTACATATAATCACAAGGTTGTTGGTTTTTTTTTTTCCTTTTAACTAGCCTATTTTCTAAGAGATTTTAGTGTGTTTTCTTCAAAATTCCCTTGCTGTGTGTTCTAATCACATTTCATACATTGACTTAATTCATAATTTACTAAGTTAAAGAAACGGAACCATCGTAAGAAACCCATCTGTTTGTTGTTACTTTTATAGATTTAATCTGTTAAAAGCTGTTTCCTCCCAAACACGTAGCTCTCAATTATCCTTAGTTACTCAATGTATTTTCCAACTGCTTCTGGCTAATAACAGATTGTATGCATGATCAGCCAGTACTTGTTTTGAATTTTCTTGTTCCAGATGAAGCTTCAAAATTTTGGTCTTGATGTGACAACTATTCACTAACAGATAACAGAGTAACATTTCAACAATTAGTATTGTATCATTACCAACTGCTATGTTTGCTGCACATTTTTGTTGTCTTTCTTACCAGCAATGGATTATTTTTGGCTTTATTGCTGGACAGTCTGCCAAAGTCTCCTCTGTACTTCAAAAAGAGAAACATTGCTGGTATTAAGATCATCAAATGAAACTGATGTTTATTTTTAATGTTTTGTAGATATGCCCATATGTTTGACATGTCTAAAAACGATCCAGCTGTGACAAGCCAACAGCTGATTAGTTTGAAAGATGCAACTACTACATCAGTTGATTTCAAAGAAAAATAACAACAGAGATGACCATATTTAAAATGCTACATATGCAACTGTTTACATTTTTTAAAATTAGGTATAGTAGAACTGATTCTAAAATTTAACAATGATTAAACTTAAGCCACTTTATATTTCAGTGGAATGGTAAATCAATATGTGATGGTCATAGCTCATAATTAAATAGTTCAGACTTTTTTTGCCTTGAAGATATCCCTAATAATTTCAAAATACTTATAAGATATGAAGGGTTCTGAAAGCAGCTACAACTTGCTTCTCCTTCTCGTGTCTATTTTGCAAAGTTTCCAAGGATGCAATTTGAGGTAAACTGTCTCCATTTAAAGTCTGTGGCAGAACTCTTTCCTCTTTCACCTCTTCATCTGATTGTCTTGCTGTGAAAGTCTTTGGTCTAGGAATCTTCTTAGCATATTCCAGCGCCTAAAAACATGAAAATTGGGGTAACTGATTAAGAGAAAACCTGACCAATATTTCCAAGAAAATGTAGGTGTTTCTATGCTGAGTCAAATTAATAGTTCTCCTAATTCCTGATCTTGTTTCTGACAGTGTTTCAATACTAGATGCTTCAGTGGCAACTGCAAGAAACTTCTGCAGTGGGCAAAAAACTTACCTCAAGGAGATTTGCTTTCTGACACCACTGGAGGCCACCTTAAATACTGAAGCAGTGTTCTTTATTTAAAAAAGAAAAAGCAACATGAGTCTATTAAGTTTATAAACATGTTTTTTTTTTTCCCCCAGTCTCATTAAGTTCTTGTCCTCAGTCCTACCTTACAGCAGGGAGTTCTGCAGGTTAATAGGACAAGGATGGAAACTGAGTGCTCCTATGACAAATTCTAAGGAACTGATGCATTGAAAGGCCTAAAACATTAAAACAAGTTTTGAAATGAAGTCTAGGTAATTGTTTTAACCTGGAACCTGATTTAATATAATCCCTTGCCAAACTCCTTTCTGGTTAATTTCAAAGCTAACACAGTTCCGAACAAGAAAAGATTTCTGAACAAATGAGGATGGTATTAGACATGCCAACCCTTAACAGATAACTGTTTCAGAGTAAAACAAAGAATTGCCTCTCACAGAGTTCCCAGAGTTCTGTTATAACCATGCATATTCTACTGTGACTGGAAATTTCTTTACCAGTAACACCCAGTCTGTGCAGGACCCACACATACTATACTGAAAATATGAACAGCAGCATGAAATAAACCACCATTCCAATTATCTTCTACTTCAAACACTATGAATGTATATATGCTGAACAAATATACTGTGAAGCAGAGGGAAAGGAGGGAAGTAATGGAATACTGATAGGGACAGCGTATCTTGAAGAACTATACTTCCGACACTGGCCGAGTGTTTCCTTTTATCACGCACTTTTCCAAGCATGTATTTCTGTAGCAATATGTAGGTAAACTTGCATGTGTGAATGTGAGACGTAGGCAAAGACTATATTGTGCAAATAAGAAGTATGTAAGTTCTGTTTAACTGGACTTGGGTTCTACTGCATGACAGGCTTAACTATCTGTGGTGGTTTTGGCTGGGATAGAGTTAATTTTCTTCATAATAGCTAGTCTGGGGCTATGTTTTGGATTTGTGCTGGAAACAGTGTTAATAATACAGGGATGTTTTAGTTACTGCTGAGCAGTGCTTACAGACAGTCAGGCCTTTTCTGCTTCTCACCCCACCCCACCAGCGAGTAGGCTGGGGGTGCACATGAAGGTTCAAGGTCAGGTTGAATGGTGCTCTGAGCAACCTGATCTAGCCAAAGATGTCCCTGCTCACTGCAGGGGGGTTGGACTAGATGACCTTTAAAGGTCCCTTCCAACCCAAACTATTCTATGATTCTATAGGAAGCTGGGAGGGGACACAGCTGGGACAGCTGACCACTGCTGACCAAAGGGATATTCCATACCATATGACGTCATGCTCAGCACATAAAGCTGGGGGAAGAAGAAGAAAGGGGGGGATGTTCGGAGTGATGGCATTTTGTCTTCCCAAGTAACTGTTACGTGTGATGGAGCCCTGCTTTCCTGGAGATGGCTGAACACCT